TGTGGGGACCTGGAGGGCTGCTGGGGGCCTAGGGGGATGTGGGGACCTGGAGGGGCTGCTGAGGAAGGGGGGATGAAGAAGCGTCTGGAAGGTATGGAGGGCAGGGATTTGAGAGGACCACATCAGCTGACTGAAGTGGGCGGGACATCCCAGTAGTGAGGGCGGGCCTGTCAGGGTCTCAGCATGTTGAAGAAATCAAATCATGCCAGCACAGACATATCCACATCAATATACAGAAAAAGAGAACAGGTTTTTAATTGTGTAAGCTTGACAGATTGTATGTATGTTGACTGTCAGTGGTAGAGTACAGAGTCTGGGCAGAATTTCACACCTTTTATACAGCAAAGTAGAAAAAAGAACCATTAAAACCTCTCATCTCCTTGAAAAAAAAAGAACAGACGCAACTTGTGATAGTTTCCTGCACATTTCGTGAGAGATCCTGAGTTAATTTTGGAGGTGTGTGTTTACAGTTCTGAATCAGAAGGCCTAGGGCCTTGTGTTGTAAAATCTGCAGACTAGGTTTATCTCTTTCCTTACCAAAAGGCCGACCTAGTCTGTGTTTAAGGGGACACCCTAATGGGAAAGGAGGAGCAACTGCCCCCTTTTTATTAAACAAGGAAGACTTCATTTTATTTACCCTTAAAATTGAGATAAGGAAGATTCTGGGGCGTGTTGATTCTCTGGGTCTTGGAAAGGGAGTTTGAGGGAGGACTTCCCAGGCGGTATGAAGTTAACCCAGAAGGAGAACAGGGAGGATCAGAAGTGGAGAAAGGTAGAGGAGGAAAGGCCCAAGGTCTGGGGAGTTGTAGGGGGCACTTGGAGGAGAGCGAGTTTTGGGAGACTCTGAGGCCCAGGTAGAGGAAACATCTGAAGTGGAGCACTGGGCAATGCGGCCTGTGGTGGAGTGTGGCTTGTGGCAGGGGGGGCAGAGTGCAGGGATTGTGTTATTCTGTGTGCTGTAGCGTCTCTTCCCAATCTGCTGTGGTATGACTTTTGTGGTGAGGATGGAATCACCCATAGTCCCATCCAGAGATTACTATTATTTTATTTTTTGGGATAGAACCTATCCTTTCGGACTTTTCCTTATTCATTTATTCTCTGTCTCTCCCTGCATACACACACACACACACTCACACACACACACACACACACACACTCACACACACTGACACTCACAAGCTGTATTATATGTATGCATAAATGTTTGGTGTTCTTAGCCTGTCTTTATTAATTAACAATGTACTGTCAGCATCTTTCCACATATTGACTAGATGTTCCTTTTTTTATCTAACTCCAGTTGTGATGAGTGCAGATCATGGGAGGCAAATGGAAAAGGTGTGGGAAGCACGTTCCTAACTGCCTGAAGATTTGGGAAGTATGGTTCAAAATTTGCCTCCTAGGGAAAAATAATGAAATTCAGAGGGCATTACTTGGGAGGAAGTCTAGGATTCCTGGAGCCCCTGAAGCTCTGAGGTTAAGACCAAGTCTCCCAACAAAGGGAAGGTTTGGGACCAACAGGCCCATGTGTGTGTCCCCCAGGATTGTTGGAGGGCATCTGAACTCATAACTCAGAGTAGGAGATAGAGCTCTCATTTCTTTTTTTCTTTTTTTATTGTACTTTAGGTGAAGGCTTAAAGAACAAATAGTTTCTCATTAAACAGTCAGTACACATATTGTTTTATGACATTGGTTAACAGCCCCATGACATGTCAACACTCTCCCTTCTCGACCTTGGAGGACGTTTTTTTTCTTTTTTGGTGAAAATATACATAGCCAAAGTACACCGTTTCAAAAATTTCTACATGTACAGTTCAGTGACATCGACTACGTTCTTCTGGTTGTGCTGCTGTTCTCACTGTCCTTTTCCAAATTATTCCATCACCATTGTCTTCAACTCACTGTCCCCTAGGCTTCCCATCAAACCTTTAGAGTTGCTGTTGTCAATTTGATCTCACATAGATAATACTTTTTTTTTTGTACTTTAGGTAAAGGTTTACAGAACAAAATAGTTTCTCATTAAACAGTACACATACTGCCCTATGACAATGGTTAACAACCCCACGACATGTCAACACTGTCCCTTCTCAACCTTGGGTTCCCTGTCACCAGCTTTCCTGTCCCTTCTTGCCTTCTAGTCCTTGTCCCTGGACTGCTGAGCCTCATTAGTCCCGTTTTGTTTTATGGGGCTGTCCAATCCCCGACTGAACGGTGAACCTTGGGAGTGACTTCACCACTGAGCTAAACGGGTGTCCGGAGACCATACTCTTGGGGTTTCTCCAGTCTCTGTCAGGCCAGTAAATCTGGTCTTTTTTTTTTGTATTAGAATTTTGTTCTATATCCTTCCCCAGCTGTGTCCAGGACCCTCTGTTGTGATCCTGGTCAGAGCAGTCAGTGATGGTAGCCAGGCACTATCTAGCTGTATTGGACTCAGTCTGATGGAGGCCTTGGTAGCTGTGGTCCATTAGTCCTTTGGACTAATCTTTTCCTTGTATCCTGTTCTCTTCATTCTCCCTTGCTCCCGAGGGGGTGAGACCAGTGGAGTATCTTAGATGGAGAGCTCTCATTTCTTGAGAACTGACTAAGAGCGAGATATTTTATGTTTTACTCCCCCTAATCCACATGGTGGCCCTCTGGTGTTGGCAGTATTACCACTACTGTAAGGTTAGGCCTGGAGAGATGCATTGAGCCTCTGACATAACTGGTGAGAAGTTGGGCTGGGACTGGAGCTCAGATCTGTGTTACCCAAAAGCAGCAGTTCTCAGTGTGGCCCCTAGACTAGCAGCACCTGGGAACTGGTTATAAATGCATATTCTTGGACCCCACCCAGACCTACTGAATCAGAAGCTCTGGGGATGGAGCCAGCTTGAGACTCCCTGCTCTAGAGCTTGTGACATCCGTATGAGGCATGCCACAAGAAGAACCAGAAAGAACAGCAACAGAAGGGGAGTTTAAAAGCTCGCGTTTTGTAGGAATGTGGTAGGAATGACGTAAAATCTTAGTCCTCCTCTGTGAAAAGTTAGAACGCCTGGTACTTCACAGGGCGGGCCATGTGAATAGGCTGTGTTGTTGCAAAAAAACACCCCCAAACAGCCTGTTTCATCCTCCCAGGTTGAAAACGGGGACCTCTGAGGGAGTGGAAACGGGTATGAGGGAGCAGGAGGTGAAAGTAATGGAAAAAACAAAGCACCTGCCAGTGGCTGCTGCAGACACTGCCACTACTGTTCCGACTCCAAGCCTTCTCTTGGTCGGGAGTTGTTGGAAGGTGTGTAAATGTTGCTTATTCTGTTACTTTGGAAACTAACTAAAATAGGGTGTTTACTTGATACTGAGGTTTGAGCTCATGTGTGATGGAAATGCTGAAAGAGACCTGTTATATAAATTGCAGGGTATTATAAATGCAGCCCCGTTGCCCGACTCCTCCTCCGTGAGCATCACTGCTATTGATCAGCATCAGATGCCCTTGGGGTGCTGTGCCATGATCTCCCCTCCCTATTGCAGCTCTTTGTGTTTGCTGGGTCATTGGAGGTCTACAAGTGTGTTCTCTGGTCCCAGCTGCAGCAGGCAGCACCAGTTAAGGACTCCCGGAACTTAGCATGGATTGGACAGATAGATTAGCATGTGAAGAAAGCTGTCCACCGTGGACACAAGTTGATGTCATTTGTGGTTCATCCAACACGTGTTTATTGTTCATATTGTGCTGGTGTTACGCACAAGGCTCTCTTCTCATGATGTTTACCTCCTAGTGCGTAGACCAGCTGATAGACGTGTAAGCGCGTAAGCAAGCACCCTGGAGTTGTATGTGCTAGGAAGGGAGTGAGCAGTGCTGTGACGGAGTGGCTGGTGCAGGGTGCCCTAGAGAGGAAGAGGGCCTCCGAGCAGATCCCTGAGAGAAGGAGCTGGCGATTCGAAGGTCTGGAGGAAAATATTTCAGACAGGACAGACAGCAAGTGGGAAGCCCTTGAGGGAGGAACAGAAAGGATCCTGGAGAATGGAGAGAAGGTGTTGGATGATGAGATTGGAGGCCACATAGAGCCTATTAGGCCGTGGTGAGGAGTTTGGATTTTACTTCAAGTATGATGGGAAGGATTTTTGGCAGAAGAGTGACATTTTCTAATTCTGGTTTTTGAGTATCACATTGGCTGATGAATGGAGAATGGTTGGTGGGGGCAGAGTGAATCAAGGAGACCAGTTAGGGGATTGTCCAGGTGAGTCATGACCGCGTCTTGGGCAGTGGTGTGGCCAAGGGGATGGAGAGCAGTGGACTGATGCAAGGTCCATTTGAGAGGTGCAACTGCTGATGGTCAGGACTTGCTCATAGATTGTTCGGAAGGGATGAGGGAGAGAGATCCAGGATGACTCCTACACCCGGTGGTGCCATTTATTGAGATAGCATATTTGTAAACTGATGAAATGATCTAGGACAGGGAGAGGCAAACTATGGCCCTTGGGTCAAGTCCAGCTCTAGAATACAGCCACATCCCTTTGTTTACCTATTGTTGATGGCTGCTTTCACCTTACAAAGGCAGAGCTGACTAGTCACAGAGCCTGCATGGCCCACAGAGCTTAAAATATTTACTCTTCAACCCCTGGTCTGGGAGAGATGGAGAAGTTGATGATGCTGGAGAGAGAAGGGCTGAAATCAAGAGGAAGGCCTAGCCCTTGAGAGGAACAGGGACACTGCTTCCCATGGACTGTGTGTGGGGATGGGAGGAAAGGCAGGACACCTGGGGACAGGTGCAGGCAAGTGTGCTGATGGGGTGGTGGGGCTGTGAGGTCCTCAGCTGAGAGTGAGTTAGGGAGGAAGGATGTGGGATGGGTTTGGGTGGGGTCATGTACAAGTTTGGGCTGCAAGTATGAGTTTCAGGCATTATGGAAATGTTTTTCTCACTTTTGCCCTTCCATTTATTCTTTGTTGACTTTCCTTTTTTGGGAAAGATGCCAGGGAAATCTGTGGTAGGAAACAGTTGTGGCTACATGTTTCTCCTTTTGCTTCTTCCTTGGCGTTTGTGAAATTTGAATACTTTTCTCATATGGCTTATTCCTTGTCCCAAAAGTAAGAAATGTTTTGGTTCTCCTAACTCGTCTTCTGTTTTTAAATTGTAGAATGTTGTAGAGCTGGTGGCTGGTGTTGTTGTTAGGTCTTTTAGTCATTTTAAAGGTGGAGAAACAGAGTGCCAGAAGGTGAAGTAACTTTTCCAAAGGCATAGTTTGTGGCAGAGCTGGAATTGGAGCTACAGCGAGCTTCCTGTGATGCCGCAATGCCAGACTCAGTAATTCTTTGGGGAGTTTGTGCATAATTTCACTCAGCATTCATGGAATAACTCCTCCTGGTTGGTGCAGGGTCGCTGTGAGTCGGATCGATGGCAGCGGGTTTGATTTTTTTTTTTAGTACATGCTCTAGAATGCTCAGGGTCAGGTAATTGTTCATTTAACTTCAATTTCCGGGCTATATCAAGCCCTCAAAGTAATGGGGATACAGCCATGAACAAGCTAGGGCGCCTACTGCCAAGGAGCTGACACTCTTGGGGGTCAGGGTGTGTGGGTCACTACAGTTAAGTCAGTGTGGCTGAATGGTGGGGGTTCCTTTCAGCCTGGGGGGCCAGGAGGCAGAGCTGTTTGTAGGGGATGACGATACACTGTAGTGACAGAGGCCTGAGGCTCCCACCCCACTTCCTGTTTGTCTCAGACTTTGACAGCACAGTGGTATCATTAAGCACTTTGGAAACCATGTTTAAAATGATGTGGTTAATTGCCCTTCCCTCCATTCTGAAAAATAGATACCTTTTCCATTATTTGTAGTCCAAGGGACGATTTAGTGACCTTCGTGATGGTAGAGACAGAATAGCAGTAGCAGACTAAGTGTATTGCTCACTGGTTACCTCACAGCTAGGGGACTTACCAGTAAGTCACTTACTGTGAGTACAAGTGTGTCTGGGCATGATACGCCTAAGGTCTGTAAACAGCTGGTTTCCTCCTGGTACAGTCAGGAAAGCCCGAGGCCAGCAAGGCTGCTGACTCTTATTCTTTCCCTCAGTGCAAAAGCCAAGTGCTCAGGTGAGTGTTTCTCTCATGAGAAAGGTCCAATTAAGACAGACCTGTAAGGTTCACTCTGGTTTGTTTCATTCAGTGTGAGATGTTGCCATATTAGGAAGCCTGTCCTCCCCTGCTGTTCTGCCCCCTCAGTGAATGTCTGGGATCATAATGCATGCCAGGAGGACTTGTGCTTCAAGCTCATGAGGAAAGCCCCTCAGAGAGATGACACCAACCTTCTGTACAGAAGCTTGGGATCATGGATTTCCTGGTCACTTTACCGAACCTCCCTGAGGTGAGAGTGTGAGGTGTTTTTTTGCTTGGTTGGTTGGTTTTTAATTTTGAGATTCCCCTTGGTCTGACATTTATAGTCATGCTGGCTAAGAAGACAGATGCTTATTAGGCCTGGCTTGGGTTCCTGTCTCCTCAAGCAAGCTTGTAATCACCACAAACGTCAATGTTCTCATCTGTAACCTGGGGATCCTCATGAAAGCCCCGTGCCATATGAAGTGCTTGGCGGCATGGTGCCTGATACTGGGAAGTGGTCAACTGTTCAGTCTTTCTTCTTTCTACTCTAGTCCTACCGTCTTCAACACTGTAAGGAGGCCTGCCTTCCCTATAACAGTAATCCTCAGCAGTCTCTTTTAGAATTCTCTAATATTTTAAATATGAACAATACAGTTCTTTAATACTGTCTTTACCCCGTAGTGGGCACTTATATGCAGGCCTGTTGTTACTTATCTTTAAACGTGTATGTTCTGTCTTCTTCTCTACATACTCATTTGGGCCTAAACTGTGTATTATACCTCCTTGAATGTCTAGATCCTAAAACTATGACTTTCTCAAAATTGATGCTTATGCAGAATACTTGATGATGCCTGTAGGAGGCACTGCCGAGGTGTCTGTGGACTTCCAGGGAACCTTGACCAAGAATGCACTGTGCTCCTTCCTCCATAAAATGGTCCCTTCAACTCGAACATTTTAGTTTATATTACGGTTAGCACCACTACTGGTGCTTTCACATACATTATCTCATTTTATGCCAATGACAACATTCTCATGCTTAAATATGGCAGCTTTCTTTTAGGCTTGTCCTAATTTCAGGTACTAGTAATTCGTAGTGCTGGTCATCTGGACAGAAGGGTAAATGACAATAGTTGATTGGCATGTACGCATATCTGGGAAATTTGGGCATGCCGTTTCTGTTGTGATTAAGAGATGTTCTAGAATATATTTGTGAAATACTTAAACCTGAGTATCATAAAAATTAAATTTATTATTTCTGTAATGGAATTGAATTATAGGTTCTTTTCTTCTCCTCTTCTTGATCATCATTATGTTTGTTTGTTTTTTTTGGTCAGGTGTTGTCTGTAGCCAACTCTGATCAAATGGTGAAAACTAGTAAGACCAGATGGCAGATTTCAGGCGTGGTGACACTCTAGCAGTCATAAAAGAAATGGATTCAAGAACAAACTGTGGATTCTTCTTATTCCTAATGAATGAGCTGAAGTAGTCAGATACTTTACATATAGCAGTGTTAACACACGTATCATATAATATATTATAGGTTAGGTACACACAGGTTTCCTATACCAATTCAGTTAACCTTACAACTACCATCTGGGATTGGTGCAATTATTATCCCCATTTTACAGATGAGGAAGTAGAGGCAGAGAGGTGCAGTTATTATCCCCATTTTACAGATGAGGAAGTAGAGGCAGAGAGGTGAAGTAACTTGCCTGGTATCACACAGCTAGCAAAAGGCAGAGCCAATTAACTTAATTCTGGTATATGCTGACCTTCAGTAGGAACATCTGCCGATTGTCTGTGTGATATCCATGTGTTGGTGGTAATTTTCTAGTTGTGCTGCCTAAGGCAGGAACTTCAAATGTTTTTGAAATTGTAATATCCAGCTGAAATTTAGTTTTAGTATACCTTTCATATGTGCAGTCATTTAATACAATTATGTATTGTTAATAAACATTCAATAAATCTTTTATTAAAGTATTATATACAGAAAAATTGAATAAATCTTAAGTACAGAAAATGCACAAACGTTGAGTTATAACAAAATGAATACAACTTTATAATCACTACCCAGGACAAGAAATAGAATGTTACCGGCGTCCCTTCAGCACCCTCCCTTTCCTTTTTCCCAATGTAACCACCATTCTGATTTCCTGTTTTTGAACTTTTCATATGCACATTTTTAAAATGGATTAAAATTTTTTTGAAAAATTTGAGGGAAGTTTTGATATCCCCTTAAGTCAAATGGAAATATTCTAGAGTGTTGTAAATTGATATGATGGGTTTATGGGGCTTGTGTCTTAAATATTTAGGTGTTTTAAAGTATATTGTAAAAATATAAAGAGCAAACATTTGCAATTCAACATTTTTCACATGTATAATTCAGTAAAACCAACTACATCGATCATGTTGGGTAGTCATCATCAATTTCTGTTGCCAAATTTTCCATCCCCATAAAGAAAAACTCTATGCTACTGAACCCTGGTCTCTCCTGCCCCTGGTAATCACTATTAAACTCTAATCTCTATACATTTGCTTATTCCAGGTATTTCATATTAGTGTAATCAGACAATATTTGTCCTTTTATGATTGACTAATTTTACTCAGCATAATGTTTTCAAGGTTCATCCATGTTGTAACATATATTAGCACTTTATGTCTCTGGCAGAATAATATTCCATTGTATGTATGTACCTCATTTTGTTTGTCCATTCGTCTGTTGATGGACATTTGGGTTGTTTGCACCTTTTGGCTATTGTGAATAGCGCTGCAATGAACATTGGTATATATGTTGTCTGTTTGCATCACTGCTTTCAAATCTCTTGGGTATATACCAAAGAGTGGAATTGCTGGATCATATGGTAGCTTTGTATTTACCTTTTTGAGGAACTGCTGTACCATTTTCCAGAGTGGCTGTAGCATTTTGCATTCCCTCCAGCAATGGATGAGAATTCCAGTTTCTTCACATCCTCACCAACATTTGTTATTTTCAGTTTTTTTAATCTTAGCCATCCTAGTGGGAGTGAAGTGGTATCTCATTGTGGATTTGATTTGCATCTCTCTAATGGCTAATGACATTGAGCATCTTTTCAGGTGCTTGTTTGCCGTTTGTGTATCTTCTTTGGTGAAATGTCTATCCAGGTCCTTT